TCTCTCTGTAGCCTGTCCAGACTGGCCCCAAAGTCATACTGATCAGCCTGCCTCTGCCTCATGAGTGCTGGGATTAAAGATGAGCATCACCAAATCTGTCTTATCTTTAGTAAGAGTGATTGGAAACAATTTTATTCATTTGTATACCTGCATGCCAGAAGAGGGCATCAGATCCCATTACAGATGGTCATGGGCCACCATGTGATTGCAGTGAATTGAACTCAGGACCTCTAGAAGAGCAGCCAGTGCTCTTAAACACCCATTGTTTTGATTATTTTATTTTCTCCTTTTTTAAAATTTGGTTTGAGATAGTCTTACCATATAGCCAATGCTTGTTTCATTTTTCCCAGTATTTTGAGATTTATTTCATGTGTGTGAGTCTTTGCTTGCATGTCTATGTGTGCCACATGTGTATCTGGTGCCCAAGGAAGTCAGAAGAGGGTGCTGGATTCCCTAGAACTGGAGTTATGGATGGCTGTGAACCATCATGTGGGCACTGGGAACTTAACCTGGGTCCTCTGCAAGAGCAACAAGTGCTCTTAACTTCTGAATCATTTCTCCAGCATTGCCAAGGCTTGTCTTTAACTCTTTAAGAATTTAATTACATTTTTTACAGAGGAGAGGACAACTTTGGTTCATCTCCTTCCATGTGAGTCTCAGGAATTGTACTCAGCCATCAGGTTTATCATCAAGAGCCTTTACCCACTGAGCCATCTAGCCTGCTCTGCTGTGAATTCTTGATCCTCTTGCCTTAGCCTCTGCTTAGATTACTGGCAGGTGCTACCATGCTAGCCCTAAGCTGTTTCTCATCATTTTTCAGAAAACAAAAGTGAGGCTCCATAAAGAGCAGAAATGGGAGTCCTTGGAAGTCTGTGGTTGAGTCGCCATAGGGCAGTCAGATAAAATGTAGGATGGTCAGCTATTATTATTATTATTATTGTCCTCAATAATTACGTGGGGTTTTCCTCTCTGTCTGAGGCTTAGGGAGGTGGGAGCTGGGTAGAGATGGAGATCACGGTTTTATTTCCTTCTGGTCTCTAAGAAGCTGTTTTGAACTTATCAGATAAGGTAGGGGATTCAACTCTTAACTTTGTAGATACTCAGTTTATTTCTCTGTGAAATGAAGTGGTATACATGGATATAATTAGGCATACCTTTTTGGGAGGTAGGGTAGTGTTCTTCCTACTCATTTTCTGGAGGACTGCTGGATTTTCCTTTTTGCTTAGGCAGAGATCCCCAGCACCTGGTGGCACTACTACTAGTCTCAGTGACATCTGTGGCAGTGGTAGTTTAGTTTTGTTCAGTTAACAGGGGATCATAAGGGGATATGAGGCTCATCTTCTAGCCTTAGTGAATTGCAGAAGAAAGCAGGAGGTATTGGGTGGCACCAGGGGAGAAACACCTGGGTGCAATGAACCTAGAGAGGGGGCACTTGGAGAAAAGTAATTATAGAAGGAGCTGGGGCTTGAGGCCCAGAGGACTTGCTTCTGTGAATTTTCGTATACATAATGAGCATGCTTAGGACAGGGAGAGGTAGATTATGTCTAAGACTGTAACCCTTGATTCTGGGGACAGAGCTGGAGCTCCTCTTGCCCTGTTCGGATTCTGGGGAGCTCTGTATGATTCCTCCCTCTTTCAGCTGTGGGTCTCCTCCACTTCCTCCTATTCTTTCTTGTGTTTTTTTTTTTTTTTTTTGAGATAGGGTTTCTTTGTGTGGACTTGGATGTTCAAGGACTTGCTCTGTAGATCAGGCTGGCCTCAAACTCAACAGAGATCTACCTGTCTTTGCCTCCTGAGTGCTGGGATTAAAGCTGTGCACTACCACTGCCAGGCTCGGGGTTTCTGTCTTAGTTGTACCACAAGGTAGGAAGGAATGTGTAGAGGAGGGTAGGACAAAGCCCACAGATATTCTACCAAAGAAGCAAAAATAAACAAATGAACCAGAACAATTCTTTAAGAATTCAGAATCAATGTGTCAGAATCAAGCTAGGTATTCAGGCCTGGACTATCTGTGGTTTTGTGTTCAGATGCGCTTAGGTGTGAAAATGTTGACAGTAAACACTGGCGCCCAATACACAGATGCACATGCTTTTGCAAATGGCAATATAGGTAACACCCTTTCTCTGAACTATGCCAATGCTCACCTAGGGATATGTAGCTAGGGAAGCCTGGGTGCCACCTCATTGCTCCTCCCAGGATGGGAGTCTGGAGTGCTTGCAGGCATGTGACTGTGTGTTTACCTGGTGTTTGCAGTAGGGGAAGGAGGGCTGCGGTAGTTACAGGGTAGAGATTTTGGTATTTTCTTGGGAGACAAGGTCTCATGTGTCTTAGGTTTGCCTCAAACATGTTAGGTAGCTGAGGATGATCTTGAACTTCTGATCCCTATCTCTCAACTCAAAGTACTGGGATTATAGGCATGCAGTACCTCACTTCCTGTCTATACAGACCTCCAAGACCTCTCTGGTTAGCTAGTGGCAAACTCCATTCTCTGACCTTCAGACAGCCTTTATCTGTACAAGCAAGCTATCACCACAATCACTAGTTTAGGGTGGACAATCTTGAGGGAGTTGCTCCTAGGCAGACCCTGTACTGCTGTACTTCTCCAGTGTCCCAGACTCTAGCTTCCCCCAGTTCTCCCCTAGATGCCCCTTAGGACCACCACCAACCCAGTGCTCCCTACACTGGGTTCCTAAAGTGGAATAGTGCCATCTGGTGACAGAATAAGGCAGTGACTTTGAAAGTTTACTTTTGGGTTCTCACAAGGGCTCTTAGAGGTGACCAAAGGTATCCAAGGTATTAGGGGAGGATACCTAGGGGATCCATCCCTGTACATTTTGGGTTCAAAGCCCAGGGAGGTAGGGCAGGAAAGCTGCCTCAAGTAGTATTGTAGGTATTGTGAACTCCATGTCTTTGTTTGTTTGTTTTTTGAGACAGGGTTTCTCGGTGTTAGCAGCTCTGGCTGTCCTGGAACTCACGTCGTAGATCAGCTGGCACAAAGGTCTGCCTGCTTCTACCTCCCGAGTGCTGGGATTAAAGGCGTGTGCCACCACTCCCAGACTGTCTTTTTTTTTTTTAAATAAGAATTTAGCTAGGCACAGTGGCACAAGCCTTTAATCCCAGCACTTAGAAGGCAGAAGCAAGTGGATCTCTGATTTTGAAGTCAGAGCTGGTCTACATAGGGAGGTCCAGTTCAGCTACAGCTACATAGTGAGACCCTGTCTTGAAAAAAAAATACAAAGAAAAAAAAAGAAATTTAAAGATTTATGTGTATAAGTGTTTTGTCTGTGTGTTGGTGCACCACAAGCACGCATGATATCCAGAGGCCAAAAGAGGGCATCTGATCCCCTGGATCTGTGAGCTGCCATGTGGATACTGGGAATCAAATCCTGGTCCTCTGGAAGAGAAGTGCTCTTAATTGTGGAGCCATTCTCCAGCCCCCAAATCTGTATCTTTTGTTCACTTGTCTTGTCATTCAAGACAGGGTCTCTCTATTATGTAGCTCTGGCTATCCTAGAACTCGATGTGCAGGTCAGGATGATATCTAACTCAGGGATTCATTTGCCTTAACCTCATGAGTACTGGGATTAAAGGCATGTGACATCATGTCCAACAAAACTCAGTATCTTGATTCAACCTTACTCCTTCAGATTTCTCCTCCATAAAGTTGGCTGGCATTACCTGCCCTGGTCTTGATGCAAGCCAGGCCTGCTGTAAAGACAAATTGAATGATAATGGTCATCACAGCAAGAGACCAGAGATTTCAGAAGCACAGGGGAAAGCTGTTCTGTGGCAAGAGGAGTGACTGAAGACATGCTACATGCCTGTGGCACTGCCATCACCCTCTAGAATTTTTACTTTTAGCTGCTTGTTACTCTAAGCTACACAAGTAAGGGGGAGAACTCAGGTGGGTGGGATAGGGTGGTGGTGGACTTGAGTTTGAAATCTGGGATACTGGCTTCTTCTCTTTCCTCCCTCCCTCCCTCCCTCCCCCCAAGACAGGGTTTCTCTGTGTAGCCCTGGCTCTGGCTGTCCTGGAACTTGCTCTGTAGCCCAGGCTGGCCCTGAACTCACAAATGCCACTACTGCCTGGCTGATACTGGCTTAACAGCCATAGAATCTGTTCACAACAATAGGTCCACAGTGTCTTACAATCTCCATGTGAAAGTATTGACTGCGAGAACTCTATGGAAACGCACAGAACACACTCAGAATTCCAAGAGCAATAATGAGTTGCATCAGGCCTGACGTCTGGGTAGGTCTTGTCAAGATTCTGCTCAATTGTGGAGTTTATCTTTCATGCCCTCACATAGGATCTGTGGGTCAAAGTCAGATCCCCTGATGCTTCTTCACTTTGGTTGGTGATATTAGGCGAGTCATTTACTCTGGGTTTCACTTTCCTCAACTTTAAAATTAAGAAATTGAATTAGATGACCTCTGTGGTTAGTCAAGTCTTGGCTGAAGACTTTTTTTTTTTTTTAATTTTTCTTCCTCACATAAAATACGTAGCAACGAATGCTGTTTTGATTCTTGCCGAGTATGTTTTGAACAGAAAGACAAAGGAAAACCAGTGAGTTTCTTATTAATGAGTACTGCAACTTTTGATACATTTGTGCGAGATTCATTTTTGGCATATTATAAGGCTTATGTGTCAATACCAGTACTACTGAGCCTTACCGATTACACAGGGTAGAATTACGTATTGGCAAAGTTATCAGGCAGCGGTAGTCTGCCGGGCTTTAGAAAGATCGATTCCTTCCTTCACTTTTCGCTTCCGCTTTTGGAAACAGCCAATAAATACACAGCAATTTACGTATAATACAGAAAACTACGGATCCCAGAAGCCAATGCGCTGGGGAGGTGCTTTCTGGTCTTTCTATCCCCCCGCCCTTCCCGCCCTTAAAAGCGGAACTTCATTTCCCAGGAGCCCTATGATGTTCCTCCGCTCGCGCCGACGTTCTCCCCCCGCCTCCCAGCTCGCGAGCCTCGCGCCAAGCGCGCGCGCGCGCGCACTGCACGTAACATGCGAGTGACGCATAATATGTGGGCCGCTCAGGAGCCGTGGTCGCGCTGTGTGTGTGAGTGAGGGAGAGTGAGTGCGGGACCAGAGGCGGTGTGTGTGAACTGTGGCCGCTGGAGGGGTGCGGGGAGAAGCGGCGGAGCCGCCCGCGAAGTTTCCTCCTCCTGATCCCTGGCCCGGGGGCGGGGCCTCAGGCTCTTCCTCCAGTCTTCCAAAGAAGCTTCCTTAGAGTAACTCTTCCGCCCGGAGTGGGGGGCAGGGATGTGCCCGCCTCTACCTGAAGGAGGTGCTCTTTCATTTTCTCTGGTCCGCTCCGAGTCTCTGACGAGCCGAGGGGCTCCCTCTCCCCTGCCGCACGGTGGACCCCTTCCCGGACTGTGTCCCCGCCTCCGGCTTCAGTCACCTGGGCGGGCTTTCCCCTCCTCCGGCTTCGTGCCACCTCCCACTTGCACCCGCCCTGCTCTTGGACAGGGCTAGGGGGAGGAGCTTTCCGGGAGCCCCTCCTACTCCTACCATGCAGTGGTGAGCCGAGGGGCAGAGAGGTGTGTGGGTGCCGACCTAAGGTTGCCTGCCAGGCTTCTTGGGAGCTCGTACCCAGGGCTCTTAGTTGTTTTCTGGTGGGCGGGCCGTTTGCCATGCTCTGTCCTGTTTCTAGAAGGTGTCGGTCTGTTTGCTCTTACTGCAGTGATAGCTCTTTGTTTTTTCCATTTGTTGAGGAATTAACTCTTAGAGTTTTGAATAAATGACTACCACTCGTTTTTGTCTGCCTCCTGTTGCCCCCCTCTGTCTGTCTCCCCCACTCCTGGCTCTCTTTCTCTTCTTCCTGGAACTGGCTCTGTAGACCAGGGTGGCCTCAAACTCGGAGATTTGCCTGCCTCTGCCTCCCCCCCCCAGTGCACTATTAACGCCCCCGTCTGCCAGTTTCTTGTATCTCTTTCCTGTGAAGCCTTTTAACTATTCTGCGTGTTTTAATTATTAATTTATTGTAGCACTATCATCCTGTTGCAAGCCCTTTGTTAATGCTGTAGTTGGAGAGGTTCATTGGTAGCATCACTTGAAGGCTTCCCCCCACCCCCTCCGCCCGTGTTTCCTGGCATTTACCTTTAAGGCTTTTATAAACCTGTTTTGACTTTAGGAGTTGATACAGTATATTTCTTCCAGATGTCAAGATTTGTGTTTGTATATAGCAGTTTTTCATTAACAGTTTTCGAGTAGGGGTATATTTTTGGGTGTTAAGGTAATATGAGGAAATTTTACACATTTCTTGAGCATAACATTTTATTTACATTGTCTTGTTCAGTTATTAAATTTAATAAAATGTAATAAAACGAGCTCCATGTTAAATTGAAGTGATTGGAGTTGGTTTATAACTACTGTTGTTTTCATAAAGTACACAGGACAGTAATAGTTATGTGATTATGTGTCATAGTGTTAAGGTTTTGCTTGAAGCTGTAAATTCGGAATTTCTCCCCTTTCTCCTGTGGTGTTGGGGATTGACCCAGGGCTCTCTTCCTCCCTTATGGCTTTTGAAATAGAGTCTCTGTAACCCAGGCTGGTCTCAGACTTGTGAATGTGCCTCATTCAGCTTTATAAGTTCTGTGATACACGTGTGCACCACAAGCTCAAGTTGACCTGCCTGTCTCCCTCCCTCCCTCCCTCCCTTCCTTCTTTCTTTGTGCTAGGAATTGAATTTAGAGTCTCAGGGACAGGCCTTATCATTTACCTACACCTTTTACTTCTTTTAAGTAAGGGTTGCAACTTTCCTGAAGGAGTGCTGTCTTCCCTCTTTTTCTTCGTGGCACAGGATCTATTTTAACAGACTTTATCTTATATTTGGGGACAGTTTTGCTGAATCTTCTATTAAGTATAGTGTAGAATAGAACCTATTTTTCTTTTTGGGGGGGATTTCAAGGCAGGGTTTCTCTGTGACTTTGGAGGCTGTCCTGGAACTAGCTCTTGTAGACCAGGCTGGACTCAAACTCACAGAGATCCGCCTGCCTCTGCCTCTGCCTCTGCCTCCCAAGTACTGGGATTAAAGGCATGCGCCACCACCACCCGGCCCAGCTTGATTTTTGAGTCAGGATCTTACCAAAAATCCCTTTCGGTAGAAAAGCTAAATGAAGTGATTATCTTTAGTTTCACCAGTTAACCGCTTTGTTGTATATTCTGTCTCTGTGTTTATTTTGTGGAATTACTTCAGGTTGTAGGCACATCACTTCTAAATTCTTTGGCACATTATCTTTTTGTTTGTTTTTCAAGACAGGGTTTTGGGGCTGGAGAGATGGCTCAGTGGTTCAGAGCATTGGCTTTTCTTCCAGAGGACCTGGGTTCTTTCTTAACAACCACATGGCAGCGCACAACTGTCTGTAACTCCGGTTCCAGGGTACCCGATACCCTTACGCAGACAAGAACACCAATGCACATTAAAAAAAAAGTTGATCAGGACAGGGTTTCTCTGTATAGCCCTGGTTGTCTTGGAAGTGCTCTATGGACCAGGCTGGCCTCGAAATCAGAGATCAAACTTGATCTGCCTATGGAGTGCTGGGATTAAAGGCATGCACCACCACCTCCTGGCTGTTTTTTCAAGACATTGTTTCTCTCTGTGTAGTCCTGGCTGTCCTGTAACTCACTCTATACCAGACTGGCCTCAAACTCAGATTTGCCTGCCTATGCTGGTATTAAAGACATGCACTATCACCAGACTGGCTTTTATTTAATATAAGGTAGAATTCAGACCTAGGGTTTTATAATAACATGCAAATGCTCTACCACTGTCCTGGATCTGCAACCTTGTGTGTGTTTCTAAGTTGAATTCTAAAATTTTACTGTTATAATGTCCTTGAATTCCCCTTCATTCTATACCCCCTCCACACACACATACAGGGTGTTTCTTTGTTGTCCTGGAACTTGCTGTATAGACCAGGCTGGTCTTGAACTCCCAAGTGCTGGGATTAAAGGCATGTGTCATGTCCACTCCCTGTTTTCTTTTTTTAAGACAGGGTTTCTCTATGTAGCTTTAGAGCCTGTCCTAGCGCTAGCTCTTGTAGACCAGGCTAGCCTCAAACTCACAGAGATCTGTTTGCCTCTGCCTTCTAAGTGCTGGGATTAAAGGCATGTGCCTTTAATGACAGTTGGGGAATGGGGTAGAAAGGAGGTCTGGGCTTGACTGCATTTTCCTCATGCAGGAAATGAGCTGTTCCAGCCTTGCCTGGATTTTCCAAGCCCCTAGGCCAGTCTCCATCTCTGTGTTCGAGTGGAGAGAAGATGGACAATCACAGAGAGTGTGGCTTAGAGGACTCTGCTTCCCAAGTGCTGGGATTAGAGGTGTGCACCACTACCATCTGGCCCCAGCTATTTTCTTGTGCTTTTAAAAACTTTTTTTTTTTTTTTTTTTTTTTTTTTTTTTTTTTTTTTTTTTTTTTTTTTTTTTTAGGGTTTCTCTGTGGCTTTGGAGGCTGTCCTGGAACTAGCTCTTATAGACCAGGCTGGTCTCGTACTCACAGAGATCCACCTGCCTCTGCCTCCCGAGTGCTAAAAACTTTTTTTTTTCTTTAAATTGTGCTAATATGTGGAAGAACCTTGAAAATAGTATGTTAATGTAGTAGGTATGGTGGTGCACGCTTGTAATCTAAATACTCATGTAACTTGAAGCTGAACAATCATGAATTTGAGTTCAAGCCCAAGTTACATAGTGACACTGTCTCAAAACAAACAAACAAACAACCCAGCAAACCTTGGGTTACATGAGTGTCTTAGGGTTTCTATTGCCGTGAAGAGACACCATGACTGCTACAACTCTTGGTTTTTCGAAACAAGGTTTCTCTGGCTTTGGAGGCTGTCCTGGAACTAGCTCTTGTAGACCAGGCTGGTCTTGAACTCTCAGAGATCTGCCTGCCTCTGCCTCCTGAGTGCTGGGACTAAATGTGTGCGCCACCACTGCCTGGCAACTGCTACAACTCTTACAAGGGAAAACATTTAATCGGGGTGGCTTACAATTTCAAAGGTTTAGTACATTTTCATCATGGTGGGACATGGTGTGCTGGCAGACTTGGTGCTAGAGAAGGAGCTGAGAATCCTACCTCTTGATCCGAACGCAGCAGAAGGAGTCTGTATCCACACTGGATATAGCTTCTGCATAGCAGACCTCTACAGTGAAGCACTTCCTCCAACAAGGCCACTTTCTCCTAATAGTACCACTCCCTATGTATTTGTGGGCCAATTACATTCAAACTACCACAGTGGGCCTAGTGTGGTAGGCCTGAAGGCCCAGGAATCAAAGATGAACTAAGAATACCCAAGGCTCAAGGTCTACCTGGGTGACAGCGAGTTTAAGGACAATTTGGGCAAATAGACCACTCAAAAAACAAACAAACAAACAAACAAACAAGTCAGGTATTGGGGGTGAAAGCCTTTAATCCCAGTGCTGGAGGCAGAGGCAGGTGGATCTCTGAGTTCGAGGCCAGCCTGGTCTACAGAGTGAGTTCCAGGAAAGCCAGCGCTACACAGAAAAACCCTGTCTCAAAAAAACCAAAATGCTCCCCTCCCCAAAAAACAAAAAAGAAAACAACCCAAACCAAAATATCAGCTACCCAAAAAACAAAACTAAAAAACAAAAAGCCCTAAACAAATATTGGGGGTATAGCTCAGTGTTAGAGTGATTTCTTAATATATTTGAGACTCTAGAATTCTAGTACCAAACAACAAAATGAATAAACCAAGAGTTAGTGATGTAGCTCAGTAGTGGAGTTCTTACTTAACCTGAGCAAGGCCCTGTGTTCAATCCCTGTCATTGTCAAAGGACAAAACAAAAATTGCCAACCAAAAGTAAGTGAAAGCAGCAGAAAGCTGTAACAGTGTATGTATTCTAGAAGGCTGATTGCTTAAAGGGCATTCTTTACAGGTTTTTTTTTTTTTTTTTTGCTGGGGCGGGGAGTGGGGGTGTGGGGGGTGTGTGGGAGGTGGGGTGGGGAGTGTTGAGAAGTGTTTCTCAAAGCCCTGGCTATCTTGGAGCTTATTTTGTGTAGACTAGGCTGACCTCATACTTAGAGATCCACCTGCGTTTGCCTCTCGTGTGCTGGAACTAAAAGGCTTGCATTCCCATGCCTAGCTTGTTCTTTTTGAGACAGGATCTCTTTCTATGTAGTCCTGACTGTCCTGGAATTCACGGAGATGTTCCTGCCTTTTCTTCCCAAGTGCTGGGATTAAAGGCATGGTGAGGCTCATTTATTTACTTATTTTTTTTTTTTTTTGGCTTTTCAAGACAGGGTGTCTCTGTGGCTTTGGACGCTGTCCGGGAACTAGCTCTTGTAGACCAGGCTGGTCTCGCACTCACCGAAATCTGCCTGCCCCTGCCTCCCGAGTGCTGGGATTAAAGGCGTGCGCCACCAACGCCTGGCTTATTTACTTACTTTTATATTTACTTATTTATTTATTCATTTCTTTTAAAAATTTAACCTTTTAAAATATGGAAAAAATAAAAAGGAGCTGGACTGTTATGTGGTAGAGCACTCGTCTAGCATGCGTGAAGCTCAGTTCAATCCTCAGTACTCCATAAACCTCTGTAGTGGTTATATATCTCTAATCCTAGCTCTTGGGAGGTAGAAGCAGGAGAATCAGAAAATCAAAGTCATTCCTGGATATAAAGTAAGTTCAAAAGTAGCCTAGGATACATATCTTGTCTTTAAAAACAACTTGTAAGCCTGATGTGGTGGTTATGTCAGCTGGAGCTACTAATGAGAGCCTGTCTCCCTATCCCGGAAGATTGTAAATTTACAACCCAGTGGTATTTAGTAGATTGACAATTGATTGCAGCCATCACCTCTTCAGTTTCAGTGCCCTCCCACCCATATTTTGGAGACAGGGTCTCTCTTGTGGCCCTAGCTGGAGTAAAACTCACTGTATAGACCAGGCTGGCCTCAGACGCTAACAAGTGAGTCATCTCCCCAGTCCAGCTTATCCCTTACCTACTACCTCCATCCTTTTCTTTTTGTGGCAACTATGTCAGATATGTTTGTTTTGTTCATTTCTTACTGTTTTTACTTCTCTAGGCCAAGCCATGACTACGGTAGTGGTACATGTGGACTCCAAAGCTGAGCTCACTACCCTGCTGGAGCAGTGGGAAAAGGACCATGGCAGTGGGCAGGATATGGTACCTATCCTTACCAGGTAAGAATAATTTGCTTTTCCACACAAAACTTGTCTTTCTTTTCTATACACAAAACTATATTTAAAAAAATAGGTGTATTGGTGCTAGCAAGATGGCTGAGCAGTTAAGAACATCTGTAATTTTTGTAGAATTTGGTTCCCAGCACCATGTTGGGCTGCTCATAACTGCTCCAGGGGATCTGACACCACTGTTCTACATAGTGAACTCCAGGATAGCCAGGGTTACATACCTTGTCTTTAAAAAAAGACAAGGCTTAGTAGACAAAAGTGAAGTTGTCCTCTGACTTAATGCACACACTAATAATAATCAAAGTCTAAAGAACAAATACTTAAACTATTTAAAAAAATAGTTAGAATTTAGCCAAAATGAGTTAAGAGAATGTAAATATTAGGAGATGATAGTGCCTGCAGTGTAAGCATGATGACTTGAGATCAGATCTCTAGCACTTATGTAAACAAAAAAAAACATAAGACAAGCAAACCAGATATGGTTTGTGTTTATAATCTAATGCAGACAGATGGAGACAAATAAATCTCTGGAGCTTATGACCAGCAGGTATAGCTAGTCAGTGAGAGATGGACCCTGTGTCAGAGGATGAGATGGAGTGCGATTGAGGAATATTTTAGAGATTTGGGTTGCAAAGTTTTAGGAATGGAAAAGTTGCCAGGCGTTGGTGGTGCACTCCTTTAATCCCAGCACTTGGGAGGCAGAGGCAGGTGGATCGCTGTGAGTTCGAGGCCAGCCTAGTCTATAGAGCAAGTACCAGGATAGGCTCTAAAACGATATAGAAAAACCCTGTCTTGAAACCCCCCCCCCAAAAAAGGAAAAGTTGTTGGGTATGGTGGCATATGCCCTTTATCTCAGCACTTGAGAAGCAGAGGCAGGAGGATCTCTTGAGTTTGAGGCCAGGCTGGTCTACATAGTGAGTTCCAGGACAGCCCGGGCCATTTTGTGAGATCCAATAGCAAAAAAAATAAGTAAAAAGAAAAAAAAAAAATAGGAAAAGGAAAATTTAGGGCTAGAGAGAGGGCTTAGTGGTTAAAAGTACTGACTGGTCCTGGGTTCAATCCCCAGCACTTAGATGGCTCTTCACAACTGTCTGTAATTCTAGTTCCAGGGATCTGAGTCCTCTTCTGGCTTCCATGGGCAACTAGGCACACATGTAGTATACATAATACATACATGCAGATACTCATTCACATAAAAATAAACATTTTAAAAAGTTTAAAACTAAAAGAAAGGGAAATTTATATGATTGGAGAAATGGCTCTGGTTACAAGTACCTATTGCTCTTTCAGAGGACCCAAATTTGGTTCCCAATACCAATGTTGGGTGGCTTACTGAAGACGGAATTTCTTCCCAGCCCTTTAGTCCCAAATAAACACACAGAAGCTTCTATTAATTATAAACTGTTTGACCAATGGCTTAGGCTTCTTACTGGCTAGCTCTCTTAATTATTAACCCATAGCTATTAATCTATTTCTACATTTACCAGAGAATGCCTAGCATCCTATCTTCCTGGTAGCTACATGGCATCTGCCTGGCGGCTCCTCTCTGCTTTTCTCTTCCCAGCATTCTCCTAGTCTGGTAGCCCCGCCTATACTTTCTGCCTGGTTACTGGCCAATCAGCATTTTATTAAACCAATAAGAGAAACATATATTTGAAGCATGCAGAAGGACATTTCCCCCATCAGCCTACAACCACCAATAATTCGAGCTGCTGGGGATTTAGCTCCTCTTTCTGGCCTCATGCACACACCCCACACAGACACACATAATTTTTGAAAAGTGGGAAATTTAGCTGGACTTGGTGGCAATGCCTTAGGCAGGTGGATCTCTATGAATTGAGGTTAGCCTGATCTATGTATAGTTCCAGAGCATCCAAGAGAGAGAACTCACTCTTGGCAGTTATTCTTTGACCTGCACATATGCTCTGTCATGGTGTGCTTGCACATATGCATGCACAGACATAGACAAAAAGAAAGATACAATAAAAAGTGAGGAATTTGATTTTGTATAGGCATGTTTGACTCGGGATGGATAGCATACTATTAGAGAGTTATCATAATAATAGATTAACGGACTAAACTAAGCTTAAAATCTATATAAAAATGTCTTTTAAAAAAGACCAAAATGATGTGACTTGTTTAGGGTACTCAAGTAATTTTTCTTGTTTTCATCAAGTTTGTATAAATAGAGCTAGGCTTAGTGGCATACACATTAGATGCCATTGTTTGGTATCGTGAGTTTGAGGTCATTCTCAGCTTAGTAAGGAATTAGAACCTAGCCTGGAGTACATCAGATTTTTGCCATAGAAGAATAAAAAGTGGGTGGGGGGACTGGAAGAGATAGCTTGGTTAACTAAAGTACTTGTCTTGCAAGTATGAATTTGATCCCCAGAACCAAGTGTTTAAAACAAAAGTTAGGCCTGGTGATGTACACTTGTAATCCCAGTGCTGGGAAGGATGAGAAAGAAGGGTCTCTGAGGCTTGCTGGTCTGTCTACCTGTCGGGTTTGGTGAATTCCAGTCCAGTGAGAGATCCTGCCTCAAAGAAAAAACATGTGGACTGCATTCCTGAGAAATGATACTTGGGATTGTCTTTTGGCCTGCACACACATGTACACCTGTACACAAGAATAAATAAATAAATAAATAAATAAATAAATAAATAAATAAATCATCAGGACATTCATTGTCAACAAGAGTTCATGAATAAAAAGGAATTTGAGCTGGGTGTTGGTGGCGCAAGCCTTTAATCCCAGCACTCGTTCGAAACCAAGCCTGGTCTACAAGAGCTAGTTCCAGTTCCTGGACAACTTCCAAAGCCACAGAGAAACCCTGTCTAGAAAAACACACAAAAAAAAAGAAAAAAAAAAGTTGGAAGAGGAGAGAGGCGGTTATTTTTAAAGATAGTAATTACATGACTCCTTACACAATATTTATGAGGTGATTTATTTAGATTTTGTTATTCCTCAGGAAAATCACCTGCCTCTGCATCCTGAGTGCTGGGCGGGATGCCCAACAATGCCTGGCTAATGATGTACTTTTTTGAATTTTACTTTTGCTTTTTTTCTGACATGGTCTTACTATGTGGCCCTGACTGGGCTGATGATGCTTACTGTGTAGCCCAGGTTGCCCTTGAGCTTAAAAGTAGGCCTCCTGCCTCAACCTCCTCAATGTTGGGGTTTTGCCTGGCATTTTTGTATGCTTGTTCAGAGTTAACTCTTTTCCTTTTGTGCTAGGATGTCAGAATTAATTGAAAAAGAAACTGAAGAATATCGTAAAGGAGATCCAGATCCATTTGATGATCGACATCCTGGTAAGATGTATATTCTCATGTCTGAGACTTTTTATTTTCTATTTCTTTTGAAACAGGATCTTGCTGTATTGTTCAGACAGGTCTAAAATTCTTGATTCTCCCACCATAGCCTCATGAGTAGCTGAGATACAGGCATGTGCCACTGTGCTACTGTGTTCTTTATTTTTTTAAAGAGAAAGTTACTGCCCAGTGGTGGTGGCACACCCCTTTAATCCCAGCAACCTGAGGCAGAGGCAGGTGGAGTTCCAGGCCAGCCTGGTCTACTTAGAGAGTTCCAGAACAGGCTCTAAAGCCACAGAGAAACCGTTTCAGAAAAAAAAAAAAAAAAAAAAAAAAAAAAAAAAAAAAAAGAAAGAGAAAGAAAGGAAGGAAGGAAAGAAGAAAGAAAGAAAATTGTTGGGCTTTGCAGATGGCTTGGTGGGTTCTTGCTGCAAGCCTGACAGGCTGAATTCTGTTTGATCCCTGGAGATCATGTAAAGGTAAAGAAGAGAAGCACTCAAGATTGTTATCTGACTTCTGTATATGTGCCCTGGTGTACTGTGGCATGATCATATACACACCTATATATCAATCCCTCCGACATAGAGATAATAGTAAAAAAAAATTAAAAAGAAAATTGCTAATAGTACTTTTCAATTGAAATAGCATCCTTTGTGGTAATTATTATTATTATTTTGGTTTGTTAAGATAGGATTTTCTGTGTCTGCCTTCTGAGTGCTGGCATTCAAGGCATATGCCACCACTGCCTGGATCTCTTTGGTTGATTTTAAGTTCTTATATTTGTGCTGGGCATGGTAGCGCATATCTTTAATTCCAGCACTTGGTTGGCAGAGACTGGATTTTCTGTGAATTCAAGGCCAGCCTGACTTAAATGAGGTGAATTCTAGACTAGCCAGGAGCCAGGATTACATGGTGGGACCCTCATAAAAACTAAGTGTGTGTGTGTGTGTGTGTGTGTGTGTGTGTGTGTGTTACACTATTTCTCAAGATGAGACATGGAAAAACATTCTAGTAAAATTGTAATATGTGTGATAAGTCAGGTATGGTGGCACATTACCTTTAATCCCAACATTTTGGGAGGTAGTGGCAGGCGGAGGTCTGTGAGTTCGAGGTCAGTCTGGTCTATAAAGCAAGTTCCAGGACGTCCAGGCCTCTGTTACATAGAGAAACCCTGTGTAGAAATAAAAAGAAAATGAAATATTTGATGGTTATAGATCACTTTCAGGATCAAATAGAATGTATATTAGTTAAAGGAACTAAATTAATGTACTTAAACTAAAGACTTAAGGATTTTCTTTTGACTTTTTTTTTTCTTTTATTTTTGGTGGAGGGGAGGTTGGTTTTGAGACAGGGTTTCTCTGTATCATCTCTGGCTGTCCTGGAACTTATTTTATAGACCAGGCTAGCTTTGAACTTAGAGAAATTGTCCTGCCTTTGCCTCCTGAGTGCCACCACCACCCAGCTGCCCTTATATATATATATTTTTTTTGAGACAGGGTTTCCCTGTGGCTTTGGAGGCTGTCTTGGAACTAGTTCTTGTAGACTGGGCTGGTCTCGAACTCACAGAGATCCGCCTGCCTCTGCCTCCAGAGTGCTGGGATTAAAGGCGTGCGCCACCACCGCCCGGCTATAATTTTTTATTCATTAATTATATTTTGTTTCAGAGTGTGTGTGTACGTACGTGTACAGGTGTGCTTCTGCCATGGAATGTATTGATGTTAAAGGAGAAATTTTCAAGAGTTGGTTCTTTCTCCCCCATGGGTTCCAAGGATGAACTCCGGTCATCAGGCTTGTTCGTCAAGCACTGTTATTCATTGAACCATTTCACTAGTCGTTCCCCCCCCCTTTTTTTTTTTTTAAGATTTTTTTGTTTATTTTTTATGTATACGGTGTTCTGCCTGCATGTATCCCTGCATGCCAGAAGAGGGCACCCGATCTCATTATAGATGATGTGAGCCACCATGTGGTTGCTGGGAATTGAACTCAGGACCTCTGGAAGAGCAGCTAGTGCTCTTAACCTCTGAGCCATCTTTCCAGACCCCTTCCCCTCATTTCTAACTTAAAAAAGAAAACAGGTTTTCTTTATCTTTATCTGAAATAATTATTCTGGTATTTGTGGGAAAATACAGTTGGTAGTTGTCAGCTGCCATGTAGTGCTTGGTACTGAATCTGGGTCTTCTGTAAGAGCAGCAATTACTGTTAACTACTGAACCATCTCTTCAGCCTCTTTTTTTTTTTTTTTTTTTAAGACTTTAGTAATGCTTATCTAGTTCCAGAGTGCCATTATTTAATTTAGTATTGTTGAATAGGCAGTGTGATGAGCAGTGGGAAGATCAGGGTTTTTTGTTTGATTTTGATTTTGATTTTTCGAGGCAGTGTTTCTCTGTGTAACCCTGGCTGTCCGGGAACTCATAACGGATCTGCCTACTATTGCCCCTCAAGTTGCTGGGATAAAAGGTTGAACCACCACTGCTCAGAAATCAATCTTTCTTTCTTTGTATGTGTGGGTGTATTTATGTATATTCATATATATGTAAGTATGTGAGTGAACTTTTTCTAATATGTGTGCATGTGGAGGCCAGATGTTGTTCCTCAGGAGCTATCCATCTAGTTCCTACGGTCTCTCACTTGGATCTGGGGCTCCTAGTTTGGCTAGGATGGCTGGTCTAGAGATCATTCTGTCTCCACCTTCCAATTGTTGGGACATCAAGTGTGCACCTATGCCTGGCTTTTTACATGGGTTTCAGGGATCAAACTCAGGTCCTCATGTTTGCATGGTAAGCACTTTAGTGACTAATCTATCTACCTAGCCCCTAGAGAGTGATTCTTAAAAATTATTGCTGTTGCGTGTTTTTTGAGGTAGGATCTCACTATGTAGCTCTAGCTGTGTGAACCAGGTTGGCCTCATAGAGATCTGCCTGCCTCTGCCTACCAAGTGCTGGGATTAGAGGTGTGTGCTACCTTGTCTAGCCCTAAAAATGTTACTAAATTTACTCTTGTCTTTGTTTCTGTTTATTTTTGCTGACAGCTTATTAGTCATATTTATAAGAACCCAGATGTTATTTGATAGGTCTAATTTGTTTGACAGGGTTACTTATTCCTTTGTGTGTTCCTCTTCTTTTGGTAGGTCGAGCTGATCCAGAGTGCATGCTGGGCCACTTACTGAGAATACTCTTCAAGAATGATGATTTCATGAATGCAGTAAGTTTGCTTTTCTTTCCTTCAGTAATTATCAGAAGATAATCATACATTTATTTGTTTGTTTATATAATAGGTTTTTTTGTCACCTAAAACTTTGTTAAAGTTCAGAGTAGAGTGGTTAGATTTTTTATTTTAATTTGGTTATTGAAAAAGTAATCAAGCTCCTTTTTCAGCAAAGTTCTGGTTGTGATGAAATTATTTTCTGTTTGGTGTGTACTTTGTTTAGTGTCAAGTATTGGTAAAGGCTCTCAAGGTATCACTGCTTATTCTTTAGCAGGACTGTTTTGATTTAGGAATGTAAATGTTCTTTTGAATGGAAAAGTAAGAGTGTGGTGATATTTTGTTTATGATCTAACAAAAGAAGATGATGATCAGGGTGAAAAGCTAGCCACACTAGTTAGCCATAGAGGCCAGGTAGTGGTGGTGCACACCTTTAATTCCAGCAGCCACACTAGTTAGCCATAGAGGCCAGGCAGTGATGGTGAAGGCCTTTAATTCCAGCACTTGGGAGACAGGGAGACAGGCAGACAGGCAGACAGGCAGACAGGCAGACGGATTTCTGTTAGTTCAAGGCACCCTGGTATTACGATAAATCTTTCCGCCACCTGCTTGAGTTCTGCCCGCCACATGGATGGCCAAAATGATACACAGGGACTTATATTAGGTAGAAAATGCTGCTTGGCAAATGACTAGGATTTCTCATCTGTTAGCTCAGTCTTAATTATCATAAATCTATATATTTTTATAAGACTTATTTAGTATGCCTTCCATTGGTGCCCTCATCCTGGGATCACATGGAGACTCTGGAGGAATAGAGAAGGGGCCCACTTCCTTCTTGCCCTTGTTTATATATGAGTCTCCTTGCCATGTCACTTCCTGTGGATCACCACTTATTTACTACATTTCCCAGAATCCTCCTTGACTCCTAGTCCCTTCTAACTTGCTGCCTCATTGGCCAAACATTACTTTATTTATCATCCAATAAGACAAACACATACACAGAAGCACTTCCCCCATCACCCTGGGCTACACGACATTGATCCAGTCTAAGAAAAACAGCTCACACAGAGGTGATCCCTGCACTTGGGGTGACACACCTTTAATCTAAGCACTATGGAGGTGGAGACAGGAAGGGACATGGCTGGGCAGAGAAAGGAAAAAAGGTGGGAGGAGCCAGCAGCTCTTGACAGTCTGAGGTGGCAGTCTGAGGAAGCAGTTTGAGAAGCCATGTAGTTGAGCAGAAAGTCTGAGGACAGGATCACTGCTATGGTCTGAGCATTGGTAGAGGTAAAAACTTTCTAGTGGATGGCTGCTTTGCTTCTCTGATCTTTCAGCTTTTACCCCTGATAGCTGACTCTGGGTTTTTTATTATTAATACCAATTAGAATTCTTGCTACATAAGAATGATATGCATTGTATGATTCTGCATTAAAACTGTTGTATGCTTTGGTATGTGAGTGGGTAGGAAGGTGTTTTCTGTCTGTTGTGATGTGTAAAAGAGAGTGTGTGTATACACACATTATGAACACATTTCTCTTATAGTTCCTGAAAGTAGCAGTAGCTAAAGAAATTATGCGTATTAGTAGTTGGAAGTGGAAAATGATGGGAACCAGTGTGTTGGTTTATGTATGTAAGCAGTCCTAGCACTTGGCGGGCTGAGGGAGGAAAAAGATTGCTTTTGAGCTTCATGAGACCCTAATTCAAAATAAGCACCACCTCAAAAACAAAACATGGGGATATATTCAATTCAGTCCTATCCAATTCGGGAAGTTGTTAGACTTATTTTAATAATAAAGGAGTTTATTATAATAATTTATTATAAATATTTATTATAAATATAAATATTTATTATATAAATATAAATATTATATAAATATTTATTATAAATATAAATATAAAAATTTATTATAAATAATAAATAAGTTTAATAAATTCATTAAACTTACTTAATTGGATTGGATTGAATTCCAGAACAAATAGTACTCCTTTATACCTTTATTAAAAATTTCGAGTATTAACACATTGATTATACAAGTTGATGGCATTCATTTTAGTATTTCTCATTTATTTATAGTACATTGATCATGTCCACTCATTTCTTTTTACCCCCATCCCTCCCTTTGTTTTCTTTCCTCCTCTTTCTTTACAGCTGGTGAATGCGTATGTGATGACAAGTAGAGAGCCCCCTTTAAATACTGCAGCTTGCAGACTGCTACTGGACATCATGCCAGGTCTAGAAACTGCAGTTGTCTTTCAAGAAAAGGTATTTGATAGAAGAAAAGTCATTGTGTTTTTGTTTGAGTGGATTGAATTGTTGGATTTGTGTTTGTTACTACAGTAATTGTTAATTGTGTCTTATTCAAGTAGCAATGGGTGCTCTAGATAGACAAAAGAAAAATTTAAAGAGCAGTTACTTGAATCAGGTGGTATCTAGCTGCTACCTCAGCATGGGGATGTTTGAGGCAGGAGAATCAGGAGCTGAAAGTCATCTTTTGCTAATTTGGAGTTCGATGCCACACTGATCTCCCTAATATGCTATCTCCCAAATCAACAAAAGTATGTTATTTGGACAGCTACCTTCTATATGGGTGAAATAATATTTTTTAGAATCTTAAGATTATGGTTTTTTTGTTTTTGTTTATTTTTTTTATTTATTTTATTTTTTATTTTGTTTTTCAAGCCTGGGTTTCTCTATTGCTTTGGAGGTTGTCCTGGAACTCACTCTGTAGACCAGGCTGGCCTTGAACTCACAGAAATCTGCCTGCTTCTGCCTCCCGAGTGTTAGGATTAAAGGCATGCGCCACCAATTCCCAGCCTAAGATCATGTTTTAAAAAGTTTATTGTGGTTTCATTTAAATTCTTGCTCTTTTTCTTCCTTTGTGGTAAAGGAGATTACACCTAGTTACTCTAAAGAGCAACACTGGAATACACATGCACATGCACACGTGTAGGCACGGGCCTGTGCATGCACTTAAGAGGCCATAGGAAGGTGTCAGGTGGCCTGCTATATCATGGTCCACCTATTCTTTTGAGGCAGTCTTTCATTGAAGTTGAGGCTCACATTTTCTCTGTTGTGTTGGAAGCTAGGGTATCCCAGCGGGCCTCTTTTTCTTTACTCCCTTAGAGTTGTTAGAGGTATGTATGGGATCTGAACTTTGGTCCTCATGCTTGTGCAGCAAGCTGTCTGAACCATCCCTAGTCTATCACTGAAACGTTTACCTTTTTTTTGTTATGGGATGGAAACCTTGGCTTATTATTTTAGTTATGAAAATAGGCCTTTTCTGAATTGTACTATTTCTTATCCTTTACTATAGGAAGGAATTGTTGAAAATCTTTTCAAATGGGCCCGAGAGGCTGATCAGCCACTGAGAACATATTCTACTGGATTGTTAGGAGGTGCTATGGAAAATCAAGACATTGCTGCCAACTACAGAGATGAAAATTCACAGCTGGTAAGGACCATCTTAGAGTGAATTGTTGCACAATTACTGCCTGAATCTGAGTAGGTATATCTTCCATTCCCTGTGTTCTGCTCTCTTCTCTCTCCTTATCCTTTGTGTTTTGAAGATTTTGAAACATGTAGCAAAGTTGAAAGAATTTTAGTGAATATTTGAATCTGTACCAGTTGAATGGGTTGTTAATATTTTACTAGACTCATTATCAGTTTACTCATCTACCTTTCATTTATCCAATATTCTAAATTTTAAAAGAAATGGCAGCTGGGTAGTGGTAGTGCACGCCTTTAATCCTTGCACTTGGGAGGCAGAGGCAGAGGCAGGGGGTAACTGAGTTCAATGCCAGCGTGGTCTACAGAGCAAGTTCCAGGTCTGGCTCTATAGCAACAGAGAAACCCTGTCTTGAAAACAAAACAAAACAAAAAAAGAAATGGAATTCAGATTGAAGTTCAGGTACAAACCCCTTCTTTAATGTAGTATCATTCTTTTTTGCTTTGCTATTCCTCTGTGTGTGTGTGTGTGTGTGTGTATGTTTTCTTTTAAAAAAGACATTTTCTGTGTAGCCCAGGTTAGCCTTGAATTCACTGTGTAGCTTTGGCTGGCTTCAGACTTACAGCAGTACTTCTGCTTCAATTCCCAAGTACTGAAGTTATAGGCATGTACTACTGCACTCAAATAAACATAGAACCAGCTTTTACTTTTGGTCCCCAAAATAAATACTAAAAGGTTTAAGAAGGCAAACTTGGACATTAGTTTATGTAGTTGCTAGTGACATATAATATATTCAGTAAGTTTTTGAAATCTTTAGTTTTGATTTTTATTCAAAGCCAATTTAAAAATAGTTCATGAATAAATCTAGCTTCTACTTTTTTAGGTGGGATGCATAGTCTA